CCCCCCCCCCCCCCCCCCCCCCCCCCCCCCCCCCCCCCCCCCCCCCCCCCCCCCCCCCCCCCCCCCATTCCCTCACCATGTCCACCGACGTCTCCAAGCCCCGTGCTGTGAGTCTCCTCGCCCCTCCGCTCTGCTTGCTCTCCGCCCCGCCGCTCCGCCTGCTCCTCGCCCCGCCGCCCCTCTCACCCCGCGCCTCGACTCACAAAATCCCCACACCCAGCCCCTCTTCTCTGGTGCCGAGCTCAAGGCCATCGGCAAGATGGTCCTCACCTCGGCCCTCTTCGGCGGGATTGTCCTCATCCTGCGCAACTTCGGCGAGGCCCTCTTCTCTTAATGCCCTCTCCTCCCTCTGCCGCCGGTGTGCGTCCAGGAGGGAGGGTGGGGGGAGGGAACAGAGCATCTCCCCCCCCCCCCCCGGCCCCTCCTCCGGCCCTTGGACAAATAGCCCCACGGCGCCGGTGCCGCGAGCGTGCGCGCGCGTGCCCAGGCAGCCCACCTCCCTGACCCCTCTGCCTGTGTGACGCTGCGGCCGCGGCTGGCCTGCCCCTTTTTTCCACACACACACACACGCATGCATACATACATACATACATACATATAAAGAGCTCATATAGAAGAAGTGAGATGTCTGCCGCGTGTACGGGCCTCCGCCAGGGTCCAATCGGGAAAGCAGCCATCAGGGGGGGGGGGAGGCGTGGCGCAGGGAAGGAGGGTATATGTGACGAAAGTAAAGAAAAAAACAACGCCAAGAAGGAAGGCACGAAATCCCGAGACAGGAAAAGAGAAGCCCATCCAAACACCGCCCTGCACATGGGGTGTATTGCGCGTGCGCCCCCACCGAGGGCGAGGGCGAGGGCGACGGCGACGGCGCGCCCATGCAGCAAGCGGAACACCCGACCGGTGGGTCGGCAGTGGGATGCCTAGACGGCTTGGCTGCCTCCGCCGGCGATCTCCACCTCCTTCCACCGGCGGAGCCACTCCTCGCGCCCGGGCCCAGACACATCGTCCATCACCACCAGGCCGTGTTTCCCTTCGCGGAAGTCGTTGGCCAGGCGAATGGCCGCGGCGTCCAAGTCGTGCCGGCCGCCCGGCGCCATGATGTTGTACCGCCGGGCCACGGCCTGCAGCACGTCGTTCAGATCAACGGGCGTCGGCTCGGCACCGGCGTCGCCCTCCGCCGCGGGGGCGTCCTCCGCCGGCAGGGCCGGCAGCCGGTACAGCTCACGGAACTCCGGCCGGTGGCCCATCTGCTCGAAGATGAACTCCGCCACGACGTCCGGGTCCACGCGGTCGCTTTTGACAGCACCTGTCGGTCGGCCGGGGGGGGGGGGGGGGCCGTCAGCTACTTCGTCAGGGCATACTCATGCATGCGCACAGAGAGGGGGGGGAAGACACAGAACGCTGCGTGCGCGCATTTGTGCACAGACACACACAGCGCAGCACACAGCACACAGCACACAGCACACAGCACACAGCACACAGCACACAGGGGCCTGTGGAAACACGGCGGCAGGGGATAGAACGCACCGGTGGCAATCAGCCGCAGGCCATCATCGAAGTTGGAGATCCGCGGAACCATGACACCCGGCGTGTCCACCGCATACACCAGCGGCTTCTCCATGATGCGAGCGCGATTCTGCAAGGCACGCGTGACACCGGGGTTCTTGCCCGTGGCCGCGGTGTTGCCTTTGCGATCGGGACAGCGAAGGCGACCGGACACAACCGGGCGACCGTCAGAAAAAAAAACAGCCCCCCATGGCAGATGCGCCACGATCGCCGAGGAGAGGAGGCCAAGGGAAAAAAAAAAAAAGAAAGAACCGAAACACCCCCGCGCGCCCC